ATGCCCCCCTACAGGCGGATTTTGGACGAAACATAACATGTAGTCTAAACATATTTCACAAATGATAAAACATGTTCAAAACATCGTACCCAGACTATGTTTAAACATATTTTGGAATATTCCCCCTGTAGAGGGACACGCCCGACTTAACTCTACTTGGGGCCTCCAATTTGGACCACGGGCCATCCAGTTCTCGTGGGACGTTTGCAGTGGGAGCTCGCGTCAAATTTGAGATTAGGTCTCGTCGCTTTTATTAGATGTTCGTTTGGGGACCTTCCGGGAGCCCACCTAACGGATCTGTTCGACCCCAGTTCGATTCAAGGTTGATTCAAGTTTGACTCAAGTTCGACTCAAATTCGACTCAAGTTCGACTCAGGTTCGACTCAGGTTCGACTCAGGTTCGACCTAGATCGACGGACGTTCGACGCAGCTTCGACGCACGAGAGGAGCGAATGGCTCCAGGAAGGTCCCCAGAACGAACATCCAACTTTTATGGTGGCCCCGTCAGGCCAACCCGAGTCCCCCGCACCCGAGTCTTTTTACGTCTCCCCGATACAACCCGGACCTCCCAGAGAGCTATGTTTTAGCGCTGGAGGCGTGAAAGTACATAAAAAAGCGAAACGAATCAGCCTAAAACCAAGACGTATAATAGCTCTGGGATCGGTTTGTGGGTCGCGTGCTATTTTCTAGCCCTCCCGGAAGGTCAGGGGAAAGGGGCCTCCGATGCGGGCCACCGGCCACCCTCCCTCCGACCTCGGCCTCCTCGCCGGCTCCCGCGCCCGCCGGCGCGGGGCCCCGGGCGCGGGCGCGCGGCGCCCCCACGTCCTTCTGGATCGACTGCTCGCGCTTCAGCGGCCTCTCGCAGGTGCCAGGAGGGGCAAAATGAAGTCGGGCCCCTCCCCATACAGGAGAAATATGTTCAAACACAGCAGAAGAGAAAAAAAACAGTCTGGGGAGGATGGTTCGAGCAGTTTTTGTATGATTCACATGTTTGGAATATGTTTGATTTTTCGTCCAACATCCGCCTGCAGGGGGACATGCCCGACCTAAGACGAAAACCCTCAGACACAATCAATCGTCGATCCGCAGGAGAAACCTATGGGAAACTATGGGACGCGGGGGAGGGGGGGGGGAAGACGAGAACCCAGAGAATATGGAAAACTAGGGGGAGTCCTGGGATTGGTGTGCGTGTTTCCTTGCATGTCCCTGGGCCCCCTCGAGAGGTGACCGGCAGGCTCCGCTGCACCCTGGCCAGGAGCGGCTTCGCCTCGAGGGTCATGATGGACCAGATGCCGACGGACCGGAACTGCGACGCCATCAACTTCTCGGCGACTGCAAAGGGTTTGGTTACGCCGGGGGCTGGTTTGCGACCGGCGTCGTTGGGGCCTGGGGGTCTCGACGCTGTCCTCGCGGGCCTCCGCGGGGCGCGGCGGAGAGCTCAATCGAGGCAACCGCCCACCCTCCAGGGTGCCCCACGGGGTGCCGATTGCAAACCACACTCTTTCCAAACTGCACCCTTCGGAGTCGCCGAACTTCATACTGGACCGGAAGACGCGCCAATGGTTCAAGTGCTGCAAGCAGAATTTCTTGCCCGGTATACTCGAAGAAGAAAACGCGCTATGAACAGAAACTTTTGGCGCTACGCGCAGAGTTCTGAGGTCCGCGCTGGACCCCCTCGGCGGCGCCTCCGGCGCCGCCCCTGGCGGGCTGATCGCACCAAAGAGGGAGATCCAACGCAGATCTAAAAAATCCGCGCGAATTGCCAAAAGTTTAATGTTTATGCCGTTTTTGTTCCTTCTACATACCCCTTGGCACGAACAAGTGCACCGAGGTCACGCCGTCTTCCTGGCTGCAGCAGCGCAACGCCGACGGCGTGGTGATGCCATTTGAGCAGGCCAAGGTGAAGGAGTGCTTTAAGATGAAAGCGCCAGACTTCTACAATTGTGAGAGTGGGTATTGCACTCACGAGATGGAGCAGTGTGTGGAGCTTAACGACATGGGGTTGCCATCCTCCTGGCCATATGGCAAGGCCAGTCTGCCTCCCGTTAACGTGTACGCACTATGTGCACCGGTCCCAGTGATCGATGGCGCGTCATTGTTGCGACCGCTTGCTCACCGGTCCGTACGAGCGCGGACATCCTGCAGGTTCTTGTGAAGTCAAAGGGGAAAAAACATAGTCCTGGGGGAGTCAGCAGTGTGTCTTTGTGTGAGAGAGAGAGAGAGAGAGAGAGAGAGAGAGAGAGCCGAGCAGACTCGGGGCTCTCCGTAGGGCCGCCTCCGAACGCCACCACTGCGGGGAGGGTCCACCCCCCGCACCCCGTGCGCGTTCCCTCTTGCCTTGTACCCCTGCTCCCTCACTGACTCCCTCTTCCACCCTGCCCCCCGTCCTACGCTTGCCTCCCTCCTCGCCCCTCCTCTCTCGTTCAAGGCCTTTGCAGATTTCGCCTGGAGCTGGCGGCCGCGTGTTTCGCTCGCCGAGTTACACAACAGCGGCAGCGGCAGCGGTGCCGCGCGAGAGCGGGCGACATGCTTGCCCAGCCCAGGCGCCTCGCAATCTGCGCGTGAGAAAGTCGGTGCCATGTCGGCGCGGCGCAGGCTTTGTCTTCGCCACGCTCCTCGGGAGTTCGGCCGCTCGAGAGGGCGACTTGGTGCTGCAAAAGGGCCGGTCCAGCCAATGCGTGGTCCCCGCTTTCCCCCACCCTCGCTTCGCCAGGTGCGAACGCGCTCCAGTCCAAACGTCAAGGTGTGCCACCATTGGACCTCCTGTTGTGCGAGGGAGAGGGCGGGAATAGGCGGGGCCCGCCCGCATTCTTGGCGCCCAATCCTACTCCTGCGCCTGCTCCTGCTCCGCCAGGCTTCTTTCCTGCCTCCTGCTCATCCTGCCTCTCCGCCACCGCCTCTTCCGAATTTCCTCTTCGTGGGAGGGAGGGCGGTAGCGAGAGGGACTCGCTGGCCTCATGGGCGCCCAGTCCTGCTCCCGCGCCTGCTCCGCAGGGCGCCAGAGACGGGGTCCACGGCAACCGGGGGCACGGGGAAGTTTTGTTCCCGCCTTGGGCTGTGCCCCCGTCGAGGGGGCCCTGGGCTCCGCAGGCGGGGGCACAGCAAACGGGGGCACGTGGAGAAGCCCGGGCCCCCGTTTGGCTATGCCCCGTTCTTGGGTCGGCCCGATCGGCGTTTGGGCGATCTCGTGGGCCGTTTTCGTTTCGAGCTCGTTTGGCAGCAGAGGCGGACCGCAGACCCAACGAGGGAAAAAAACGAGAACGAAAAACGATGGCTGGGGCGACCCCTGCTCCTTCCTCCTGGTCGTCTTGGGTCGGGCCTGTCCCCCATACGGGGGGACTTTGGACGAAAAAGAAAGTAGTCAAAAAATCGTCCCCGTATTTTTGACTAGTTTTGAAGACCCTGAGACCCGACGTCTCGAAAAATCGAGACATCGTGAAAAATCACGACTGGAGCCCCGGACCCCGCATCTGTCTGCGCCATTTTTCGAACCGGATCCATCTGTGAGGGCCCCGGGTCCCGGAAAAAGGCGAGAACGTCCGGCTCGAAAAACATGAGTCGCCAGGATCTCAGGGTATTCCTCCTGCAGAGGGACGTGCCCGACTTGATGCTCGTCCTCCCTCTCCGCCACCGCCTCTCCCGGCCCAGGCCGGTGGAGCCGCCGGCCACGGCCGCGCCGCCGCCGATGCAGCCGCCACCGGCGCGCCCCCCTCGGCCGTGCAGGGGGGCTCGGGGAGGGTACCCAGTCAGCAATCAGCGGCAATAGTCCAGTGTCGATTTTCTGGGTCTCCGTCTTCCCCCCCATTGCCCATAGTTTCCCATATTATCCTGGGACTCGACGATGACTTGTGTCTGTGTGTGTCGGTGCTTTTCCCCTCGTGAATCTGGCGGTTCTGGAAGGTTTGCCTGGCGCCGCTGCCCTCCAGGAGCGGTCCGCAACGCTCTGAGGGCGATCTGCCCATACATCCAGCTGCTCCAATTGTTTCGATGCGTGGGCCCTGGAGGTCCAGAGCACTTCTCTAAGGTAAAGTCGGGCCTGTCCCCCTACAGGAGGTATTCGGAAATAATAAAAAAATAGCCAGGGGATTATTTTTCCAGTATTTTTGAGTATTTCTTTTTTGCTTGTCGAAGATCCCCCTGTAGGAGGACACGCCCGACCTAACAATAATCGTGGGCGAACCCTGGGATCCGACGCTCCAAGGAAATTTGAGCAGGCGTTTTTTGGCAGTTTTTTGCCTTTGGGGGCCCTCGCCGGGCTTCGGGACGAAAAAGCGGCCCTGGAGAAGTGGTCTGGGTTTCCGGGGCCCACGCATCGAACAAAATTGGAGCAGTTGGATGTCTGGGAAAACAAATCCGTATATTGGCGGCCTTGTTGCCGGCAGGGCCACTGGACCGCGACCCCGCGGATACGGGGTGTTGTGTTCGCGGATGCTCCGCGCGGAAGTACCCGTGCGACCGCGCATCCGCAGAATCGCGCCCCGGAATCCAGACCGCGAGGGCGCGGATGCGGAAATGTTCGCCGCTCCTGAGATAGGATCGCTGGCCCAGACCTGCAGAGAGGGGTCCTCGCGACAGAGCTCCAGAACTCGTGCGAGCTGCGAGAGCCAGGCCGCACGGATGTGCTGGTGGGCAGGAGCGCCCCCCCTCGGGCCGTGGCGCTCGGGCCCTGGGCGCTTCGGCGAGCCTGGAGCGCCGGCCCGCCCCGAGGGCACCCGGCCTTGCCCGACGTGCGGGACTGAGGCCGGCAAGGCCAGCGCTGTTTTTCGACACGGCTGTCCGACCTCGGGCACGACTCGCTCGCGCGCGCAGGAGCGCGGGAGGGGGGCCGCTCCTCTGGAGTCGAGCGCCCCGCACGCGCCTTCCCTGCTCCCTCCTCCTCCTCCTCCTCCTCCTCCTCCTCCTCCTCCTTCCCCTCCTCCTTCCCCTCCTCCTCCTCCTCCTCCTCCTCCTCCTCCTCCTCCTCCTCCTCCTCCTCCTCCTCCCTCCCTCCTCCTCCTCCTCCTCCCCCTCCTCCTCCCTCCTCCTCCTCCTCCTCCTCCTCTTCCTGCCCCGGGCAGGAAGAGGAGGACAGGGCGGGGGGAAAGGCAGGGGTCACGAATCGCGGCGATCAGCAGCCGTCCCCCTCTCCCCCCGCCCCCCTCTGCCTGCCCTGCCTGGCAGGGCTTCGGGTTGCGCACGCCAGGTAGTCTTAAGTCGGGCGTGTCCCCTGTACAGGCGGAATATTCAAACATAGTCAAAACAAATAGTCTGGGGGCAGTATTTTTGGAATATGCTTGAATACTTTTGGGGTATTTGTAAGTTCTCGTCCAAAATCTGCCTGTAGGGGGACATGCCCCACCTAAAGGTAGTCTCAGCTGGCCTCAACAGGCACCCCGTCTAGACTGGGGCGGTCTTAGAGGCACCCTGAGTGAGGCGTTAAGTTAACGCCTCAATCAGGGTGCCCCCAGGCGTTAAGTTTAAGTCGGGCGTGTCCCTCGACAGGAGGAATACATCCCCAGGCCGAAAGTTTTCCTCTTGGACTAAAAATATGAACACATCGACGGATCCAATTGGATCCCTTTTCGGGTGTGGGAGAGTTTCGTGGATCCTATCTCTGTGTTGCGCGGATCCAATTTCTTGTGTGTGAAAAAACGGTGGATCCATTTATTTCCCGGGGATGAATATATAATAATAATTAACATCCGGGACCCAGGGGAAATTGGATCCGCGGAGCACCGCAAGTGAAGCATCATGCTACATCCCCAGTATCCACGGAGCTGTGGATCTGAAGAACCATGCTATGATTCTACGTGGGAGGGGGGGTCCTCCCAGAATGACGAGGGGAAGGATGAGGGAAAATGGCAAGAGGAGGTGGGAGGAGAACAGAGGGGACGCAGGGGGGGGAGAGGGGGAACAATCAGGGAAGAGAGGGGGGGAGGAGGAAGGAAGAGGAGGAAGGAAGAGGAGGAAGGAAATGGAGAAGGAGGAGGAGAAGGGGGATGAGGGAGGAGGGAGGGGAGAGGAGGGAGGCGGACGGACGAAGGAGGAAGGAGGAGGAGGGAGGAGGCGGGAGGAGGAGGGGGGAAGTGGGAGGAGGAGGGGGAAAGGAAGGGATGAGGGAGGGCGAGGACACACAAGCAAAGTGTCCAAGTCGGATGCTCGAGCGCCACAGCGGGCCCGGCCACCTCCCTTCTTTTCTCCCATAACATGTGGTTGCTCGAGCGCCGCCGCGGGCCTGGCCATCTCCCGAAAGTCCTCCCATAACATAAGTATGCTCGAACGCCACAGCGGGCCCGGCCAACTCCCGCATCTTCACCCATATCACATCCACCCCACCTCGAAGCGAGCGCGACATGTATCCGCTCGCCTGAACGGCGCGTCGCTTCTGACATGTGGGGCTCAAGAGGAAAATCTTTCGGCCTGCGGAAGTAGTCAGAAATAGTCAGCAAAATAGTCAGGGGACGTTTTTTGTTGCCAGTCTTGGAGCACTGCTTGATTCTTTCTATGCTTCGTCCAAAATCCGCCTCTATAGGGGGACGTGCCCGACCTGACGCTAAGCTGACGCCGCAAGCAGGGCGCCCGCAGGCGTCAAGTTGACGTCCCAGGGGATGTGACACCGCGCTCGCGCCCCAGGATTGACTTGGCATCGCTCGGACGTGTGCATCTTTCCTTCGGCGAGGACCATCGAGGAGCATCCTTGATCATTCGGCGAAACAACCACGCACGAAACCAAAAAAAACACAGGGAATGGACGTCCGAGCGATGGCGAGTTGAGGCGTTGAGCCGCCGCCTCAAAAAGCCCTGAGGCGCGGAGGCCTCCATGGGGCGCCGCCGGAGGCGGCGTCGGGGTGCCGAGCTTACCCTTGGGCCACCCGGGGCGCCCGTCGAGGCCGGTCGGGGACTGCCCGGGGGGAGCTCTCCGTGCGCGACCCCGAGCCTCACGAGCCTATCATATCATCATCATCATCATCATCATCATCCTCATCCTCATCATCATCGTCACCACCACCACCATCATCATCATCGTTGTCGTCATCATCATCATCACCACCACCACCACCATCATCATCACCACCATCATCATCATCATCATCGTCATCATCATCGTCATCATCACCACCATCATCATCATCGTCGTCGTCGTCATCATCATCACCACCATCATCATCATCATGATCATCACCACCATCATCATCATCGTCATCATCATCACCACTGGCATCATCATCATCGTCGTCATCATCATCACCACCACCATCACCACCACCACCATCATCATCATCATCATCATCACCATCATCATCATCGTCATCATCATCATCATCATCATCGTCGTCATTATCATCATCACCACCATCATCATCATCGTCGTCGTCGTCATCATCATCACCACCATCATCATCATCATCATCGTCGTCGTCGTCATCATCATCATCATCACCACCATCATCATCATCATCATCGTCGTCGTCATCTTTATCATCAGCATCATCATCATTATCATCCTCCCTCCTCCCTCCTCCCTCGTCCTCCCTGCTCCTCCTCCTCCTCCTCCTCCTCCCTCCTCCTCCTCCTCCTCCTCCTCCTCCTCCTCCTCCTCCTCCTCCCCCTCCTCCTCCCCCTCCTCCCTCCTGCTCCTCGAGGCCGGGAGGCGGAGAAGAACGCGGGCCACCCCCGCGCGTGCCCCCCCCCAATCAGGCGATCGCAAGCATGGATTATTCAGGGGGCGTGGATGAGCGACGGGCCCCGTTGCCACGGGAGAGCGCGGGCTTCCGCCGCCGAACGGGGCGGCACCGGCCGCATCTTGGGGAGGGCACCTCCCCCGATCCATGGATTTGGCGACCGCGCGCCAAATCCATGGATCGCGCATCCATGCTTGCGCGCCCCCGACCCCCGAGCCTCTGGAGAGCTGCCGCTCGCAGCCTCTTCTACGGTGGCTGTCGGAGATCCCCCTCCCCAGCGTTCGCTGTGCCGTGCCCGTTGGAACGCAGGGGGGGACGAGGGCGGCGACGAGGACGAGAAAGACGAAGACGAGGACCGAGAGGAGGCGGAAGGGAACGGATTGCCTGCCTCCCCCTTATCCCACTCCCACGCCCGCCTCTCCCTGGCAAGCGCGGCTCCTGCCGGATCCTCCCAGGGGAGCATGCTGGTGGTGGGCGACGGGAGCACCGACTCCACGACGCTTGGGACCCGGGGCAAGGCAAGAGGTGGCGCGGGGCACGCGCGAACTCTGGCCCTTGTCGGCCACGTGCAGATGGGGGTAGGGAGAGGGGGGGAGGCTTCTTAGAAGCACCCATGTTTCTTCGAAGGGAAGGGCCTTACCTGCAGATGCAAGACCGGCGCCTTCTAAGAAGCAGTTTTCTTCTAAGAAGCCTTCCTCCCTCCCCGTACCCCCCTTGTGCGCGCCGTCGACCGTGGTCGCGTCAACCATGGCCGTCAACCGTGGTCGGCGGTCGTCGGGGGGGAGTCCACGAGCAGTCAGGCGGGCCCTTCCGTGCCAAGCCGCCGCGAGATCATTCTGCAGGTCGTGGTTGGCCGGTCTCGTTGTTTGGTTTTCCCCCTGCGTCGCAGGAGGGCAGGAGGTCTTGTGGGAAGCGGGCCTTGGGCCCCGGTAGCCTTCCCGGGGACCAGCCTCTCGTTTTGAGATGCTGCGTGGCGGTCCCAGGGCCAGGGAAGGGCCGCGGCAGACCGAACGCGCGACGAACTTCGGCCCCAGATGTCCCCAGAATCGCTTCTTTTTCGTTGTGAGATCGGCCTGGTTTCGCAGAGGGGCATCTACAGATCCACCTCGTTCCCTTCCCTCCCCCTCCGTGAAGGGGGGGCGACAAGCAGAGGAGGAGGAGGATGGTGGACGGGCGGAGGCACGAGGCAGATCGATCGGCTACCCCTCCCCAGGCAGTGCCTGCACTCTTGGAGCTCTTGAGCCGGCTGAGCTGCACGCTGAGGCGAGGCTTCGCCCGGTGCCCGCCCGTCGGCGCCTGGTGAGCGCCTCGTGCGCGCTGGGTGGGCGTGGCGAGGTGCTCGCCCGGTGCTCGCCCGTGGGCGCCCGGGCGCCCCGCGGGCGGCCGCCTGCGCCGAGCGGGCGCCGCGGCGGGGCGTTGCTCCGTGCCCGGCCGTGGCCCGGTGGAGCGGGGCGCCTCGTGGGCGCCAGCGTGCGCGGGGCGGCCGAGCAGCCTGCAGCACACAGCCCGCGCCGCGCAGCGTGCAGGTATCACGCCTGGTGCGCGCCGTGGCGGACCTTTTTGTCCGCCTGCAGGCTCTCTCCCCCCGCCGTAGGATGCCTTGCTAAACGTGGCGGACAGAGCGTGGAGCCCAAACATAGATTCCACATACATCTTTCCACGGAGCTTCCACCACAGAGTGGCACCGCGCGGCTTGTGCCACGCAGCTCCCGCCTCGCACCCTGCAAACAATACATCGCTCAACGCACGCGGGCGCAGCGTGGCCATCCGCTTCGTACCGTGCAAAGATTACATCGCTTCGTGCACGCGGGCACATCATAGCTCACACCATCTGTGTGTACATATTTGTATTGCAGACGGCATATTGCAATGCATAGCTTACACCGCGCAGCTCTCACCTAACAGTTTGCCCCACATGTCGCTCACGGTATAGCTCACACCGTACTGCTTACACCGCGCAGCTCACACCACAGAAGTTGCACCCCACACGTTGCACTGCGTAGTGTAGTTTTCCTTCGCATACAGCACCTGTAGCGCCCCGTAAAATATTACACCCCATAGCTTACACCGCATCATCTACATCATACATTTTGCGCCGCATAGCTTGCATAGCTTGCACCACATTTTCATCATGTGGTCCAAGCGATAGCATGCCTTCGCCTCGGCCGTCCGCCTCCGCCTGATGGCTGGTGCGCGCGATGCTACAGGAGCGATGGCTGGCGTGGACGGGGCCGCATTCGTGGCGACCGCAGTTCGTGCGGCGGTGGAGGCCAAGGCGCCGCGGCGCGCGGTGGCCGCGGTGGCGCGAACCGCAGTGTCTGCAGCATGGCATGCTGCGGCGCCGCGGCCGGTGCCGCCTGCGGGCGCTGGAGCTGCAGAGGCTGGCCGGGAAGCTCGTGTTCGAAATCTTGGAGCCGACGCGGAGGCTAAGGCGCAGCGGCGCAGGCGCCGCTGCTAGCGTCTTGCAGAGGCGCGTCGGGCTGGCCGTGCGGAGGCTGGAACTGCAGGTGATGACCGTCGGCTTCATCGCGCGGCGGATGCTGACGCTAGAAGGCCAGGCGATGACGACAACATGAGCGACGAGGTGTTCGGCGAGGCGGTGGAGGGCTCCCCTGCCGCTGCGGCGGCTGGCGCTGCTGGGACTGCCGAAGTCGTGCGCGCGGGACTGGTGCTCGTGCCGACGGCTGGTGCGGCGCCCGAGGCGCCAGACGGGGGCATGTCGGATTTCGAATCCGACGAGTGGGCGGACGCCGTGACGCGCCGTGCGCTGCGGAATCGGAAGCGGGAGCCCGCGGCGGCGGCGGAGCTGGTTCGTGGTGTTGGTGGAGCGGTTGCTTGGGCGCGGGTCCCCATTCATGAGTCGCTTGGAGTTTCGCTCGGCGGTGGTGGGGGGGTCGCCGAGGCGGCGGGCGGAGCGGCCGCGGCGGAGCTGGTCGAGACGCCCTCGGTGCCCCCAGCCGGCAGAGCGATATGGCAATGCCGCGGGGCCGCCCCCGGTGGGCGCGAGGGTGCGGGTGGCGGGCCCTGTGGTTGGGCGCGTTGGCCGAGTGCACAGCTCGGGGTTTGGCGGCCGCGGTCATCCGCTTCGACGCCGAGGTGTGGGGAAGCAAGACCAAAGGCAGGCCCAAGGAAGTGGCGATGGCCTTCGGGGACTTCGTGGAGGACGTCAAAGGCTGAGCAGGCGGCCTGTTAGCCTTGCGGCCGTCAGCCCCAACAGGGGGAGCGTCGCTTCAGTCTGGTGCGCGAAAAGGGCCAGCGAACGTGGCACCTGCTTTGGCTCCCGCGGGAGCCTGCCCTCTGCTCTCGAACATCAGATGGGGAGTTCGTGGGGAGAGCGAAGCAAACGTTGCGCCACATCCTGCGCCGCACGACTTGCGCCACATAACTTTGCGCCGCGCAGCTCGCACATCCTCAGCTCAAGCGCTTCCTGTTCTGAGGCTCGCGCTGGCCAGCCTCGTTCGATTTCCATATGGGGGGGCCTGTCTGGTATGGCCGTGGAATGCGCACAACCCGACCCCGAGAGTCCCCCCAACACCAGAATTGGCATCGCGCAGGTTTCCTCATCTTGAGATTTGGTATCGCGCAGGCATCCCCAACTTGGTATGGGGGACAGAAGCGGCCAGACAGGCCGCCTGTCTGGCCGTTTCTGTCCCCCTCCTTACCCCCTCGGGCTTGGCCTGCCGCCCGCGGAGCCAGTCCTGTCTCTCGCGCGGCCGTCACCCTGGGGCACGCTGCCCGAGCATTTGATCACGTCCATCGTCGCGTGGGTCACCAACGCAGGGGGGGCGAGGGCAGTCGCGCATCGTAGAACGCTGTCAACCCCGCGCTGGAAGGTGCACCCCGTGTAAAAAAAAAGGTCGCGCCTCGCGCCTCATGCGTCCGGCGGTCTTCCACCCATCCTGCCACCGTGCGTGGGTCGTGGACGAGAGGCTTCTTAGATGCCTCTTGCGTGGTCTCTTGCGGGTCTGTGTAGGGCCTCCTGGGGGCGCGCTGGGGCCCTCCGAGGTCTTGTGGGGGGCCGCAGCACGGGGCCTCTTGGGCACGCCCTCGGAATTCACTGGCTGTTTTGGGGGTCCCCTTGGGAAGGGGGGCTCCGAGTGACAGTTCGACTTTCCCCCCTTGTTGAAAGCCCCAAGGGCCTTTTGGGATAGTCCTGGGGCTCTAGTGAGTCAGGTCCAATTAGCGCGTTTGGGATGCCCCGGATATCGAGTTTGCGAGCAAGACGCATATCAACTAGACATCATATATGTCGTTTGGTGTTTACCTCGTTGAGCTAGCCCACGGGGGGCCCAAGATGGCCCAAGAGGCCCCAGGGGAGCACGATCCTTGAACCATCGCAGGGCGATTCGCGCGAAGTGTGGGTTTCCAGCCGCGCCCCTAAAGCCTCCAGAAAATTCACGCAGCGAGAAGAAATGCTCAGACATTCAGCGAGTTTGGTTCCTGGGGCTCTTACACAGAGAGTCCGATTGGACACCGGGTTTGATAAACAGACTCGATTGCTGAAGTTGTCCCCAGACTTGATACAGCGATCGACCTGAGGACATTCTATCTCGTGCCTACGTGTGACGCGGCGGCGGATCAGCCCTGCTCCAGGTCGGCGGTGCGAGGGCGCGAATGCAATCCGCACCTCGCGCACCGCCAGGCGGGACCCACGAAGCTCGGTGGCCAAAGTCACACCCACCGCGCCCCACCCGTCGTCCCTTTCGCTCGAACGCTCGATGGCCGCATCCTCCGTTGTGGCTCCCCCCCCCCTCCCCGCACGAAGGAGCAACGGGAGGGCATCGGGGAGAGGACCTACATGGCGATCGTACCGACGGTCTCATGAAGCCCTCAGCACTGCCCTCCGCTCCTCTTTCCTCCGCCTCTGGCTCTGCGCTGGGCGTTCGAGCAGAGGCGGCCTGCGACTCCCGAGCAGCGCCGCTCCCCTGGGCGAGACCTGCATGAGAGGAGACGCTGCGCCAGACGCTGCCCCTGCCCCGCCGCCGCGGTCCTGCGAGAAGACACGTGGACAAAGGAACACAGAATGAACAAACGTAAGTCTTCCGAAGTCTGCATGGATTTCTCGGGTGGCCGGTGGGCCCCCGGTGGCGGCGCCTGCAGCGACCCCCGGCGCGCTGCGGACCTCCGAGGAAGTTTATGCTTGTGCCGTTCTTTGCCCTCTAACAATGTGACCGCTTCACCGAAGCCGGCACCAGCATATCGAACGGCTCGAAGGCAGTTCGTGCAAGAGACGAGGGGGTGGAGCCCGAAGAGCTGGGCGGCAAGAAGCACGCCTTCCGCAGGCAAGAGGGAGATCACGGAAGTGTAGAGGAGGGGGATGCGACGAAAAGGGGGTGGTTGCGGTGGGGGGCAAGGGTCATGAACAGGAAGAGAAAGATCGGGAATCAGGAGGGAAGCAATCCATCGCAATCGAGCCAGATTTTGCTCACAATGTAATGCTGCAAGGTATTATGCGTCAGGATTTCGGCTGCGAGGGACACGTTCATGTCCAGAATTGCTGGGTCCCCTCCACTAAAAGCTCATAATTGCGTTCATGTCCAGAATTGCATTCATGTCCAGAATTGCGTTTAAGTCCTGTTTATGTCCAGAACAATGATCGCGGATGTAGCAATGACTCTTGGCAGGAGGGTTGCGCCACGTTGGCAGGGATAAGTTGTTGTTGGTTGAAATTGTTACGGCGGCGACGATTGCGATGATGATGGTGGTGGTGATGAGGATGGAGAGCAATCCGTGTATGATGCTGAAGATGATGATGCTTATGCTGACTCTAAAGATGATGCTGATGCTGATGCTTTTGATGATGATGATAATCATGATGGGCATGATGCTGCTCATGCTGATGAGTATGATGATGAGGAGGATGAGGAGGATGAGGAGGAGGAGACGTAGTTTGTTGCACATGTTGCTGCTAAGTAAGATGAATTTGATGGTGTCAACCTTAATGGTGGGATATTGGTTGGGATGATTGTTGGTAATGGTGAGGAGGATACGGATGCGGATGTGGGTGATCTCTTGACAAGCTAAAAACGCTGAAACTGCGCGACGGTTGTTTATCGTTTTGGCGCCGCTGTTGTATAGTTTTGTTTGATCCGTCGCGACGGATCATCATTATTTAGCGTTTTTTGATTTCAGGCCCATGCTGTTCCTTGTCTTCCCTGCTGTCTTCACTATCATTTTTTGCTTCTGCCGCCGTTCTCCCTCGCAGAGCTATACATGCACAAAATAAACAGCGCCCTGATACTAGTCTAACACAGGCCCGAAAAAGGCCCAGAGGCCCGATGGTGATCGTTTTCTTATTCATTGCTTTTCCGATCGGCGCGGGCCGCCAAAAGCCCCTCACCCCCCGCCCGCCATGGAGTAGATCTTGGCTGCTCTTTTGCGCCTGCTTCGAGCAGGTGGAGTCTCTCCCCCCTGGGGCGCACTGGTGCAAACAGACGCGTTGAGCAGAGGTCTGGAGCCAGAACCCCCCCCCGTCCCCCCCCCCCCCGTCCCCCCCCCCCCCCCCCTTCCGCCCAATGTCGAAACGCCGAATCAAGAAACGCTCGCATGGCCCCAAGAGGGGCAATCGGCCATCGGGCCGGGAGGCCCGACGGAGAGGCTCCGAGGACGATCCCGAGCAGTCGGACCGAGAGTGCCGGAAACAAAAATCGCAGCGAACCAGCGCAAAGCAGTGAGTCGTTGTTTTGTTAGCGCTCTAGTTTCTTGTGTGGGGCCTCAAAAAGGCTAACAGTGAGATGATGCCAACATGCCGAGTTCAAACGATAAAGAGGCCCTGGGCAGGCTTAAGAATAACCAAGATGAAAATTGTGATGAGCATGTTGCTGATGATGAGGATGAGGATGTGGTGATTGTGGTGGTGGCGATGGTGGTGGCGTTGATGGTGATGGTGGTGATGATTATGTGATGATGTTGTGATAGTGATGTGATGGTGATGGCAATGATCTCGATGATGACGACGATGCTGTCGCGGCTGATGGTGATGATGGTGGAGGTGGTGATGATGGTGGCTTAGATGTGGATGGGATGGTGATGACGATGCTGCTGATTGATGATGGTGATGATGATGGGGATCATGATCATGATGATGTTGATACTGATGCTGATGATGCTGATGATGCTGATGATGATGCTGATGATGCTGATGATGATGCTGCTGATGATGATGATCATTATGATCATGATCAGAGGGGGAGGAGGAGGAGGAGGAGGAGGAGGAGGAGGAGGAGGAGGAGGAGGAAGATGACGATCGATCATGATGGCTACGGCGCCGGTCGGGGCCAGCTCGGCGCCCTGCCAGGTGCTCCGCCGGCAGAGGCCGTGGTGGACCTCAGCGACGCAGGCGAGCGAACTCCGCGTGCCGTCCCGCCTTCTCGTGATCCTTCTTCTTTCACTGTTTTGCCGATCGGCGCGGCCCCCCCAAACCCCCCCCCCAGGGAGAGCAGAGGATTCCCGAGGGATTCCGAAGGGTTCCCTGGGGATTCCCCAGGGATTCCTTAGGGATTCCCGAGGGATTCCCTAGGGACTCCCGAGGGATTCCCTAGGGATTCCCTGTGGATTCCTAAGGATTCCCCCGGATTCCTCCGGGGTCCTGGGGATTCCTATGGAGTATATCTTGGCTGTTTTTGGCGCCTGTTTCGAGCAGGTGGAGTCCCTCCCCCAGAGGACACACTGTTCCAAACAGTCGCACTAAGCCGAGGTCCGGAGCCAGATCCCCCTCTCCCCATCCCGCTTCCGCCCAATGTCGAAACGCCGAATATAAGAAACGCTCACCTCCCGATGGCCCTCCCGCAGAGGGACAAAAAGGTGGTTCCCTTTTTGGGGAGGGTGGGGTTCACTTCGCTCGGGAACTCCCGAGCGGTGAACCCCACCCTCCCCCTCAGAGATGGTGGGGGGTAGAGGGGTAGGGTTCGCATGTGCCCCCCCCTATTGTCGACTCTGTGCTCGTGGTCGGGCCCCCATCCCCCTCAGACCCAGAGTTGGCACTCGCGCTGCCCCCCCCCCCCCCCAGGGGTCCGCTTCTTGCCGTTCTCTGGCGCCCTCTGCTGCTTCCTGCCTGCGTGCACCGCCAGGAGCCCGGGGGGGAGGCAGGGGGGGCGGCGTCAGGGCCCCCCTCCTCTCCTGGCACCCTCCCCGTGCAACCTCCCCTTGGACCGCCACGAAGGAAAGGAGTCCTGAGGGAAACGGGTCATGAGTTTTTTTTTTTTTTTTTTTTTTTTGTTTTTTCTGTTTTCGAGCTCTCGGGGCCCTCCCCATCCTCCTCCTCCTCCTCCTCCTCCTCCTCCTCCTCCTCCTCCAGGTTCTGGGACTGTCCAACAAAAACCATGTAGATGAAGAGCTGGTTCTGGGGAAGGCCCCGAGGTCTACGCACCGCTTCCCTCGGGAACGCTTCCCAGCCGTGCGATGTCTCGACTTTCTCGGTGCGCTGTCCCCGGACGCCCCGACCATTTCCCCAGGGCCCGTGTTTCATCCCGAGTCGTTCTTCGATGGTCCCGAGGCCCGCTGGGGCCCCCCAGAGGCCGAAACAACGGCTTGCCGTCATTATTGTTTCACGACGCGAGCGTGTCTGGGTGCCTTTCCTGCCAGCTTAACACCTCCCCTTACCCCCTCCCCCCGACACCCTTCCACTCCCGCTGCCCCGCCTCCCTCTGCGCCCTCTGGTACCGCCGGCCTGCGAGCTCGGAGACGTGGGGTCAGCGCTGACGGTGATTCAATGCCGAACCCCGCCCTGCTGGCAGCAGAGGCGGTCTACCACCGCTAGATTTCCAGCCCGTCTGCCTCGAGGGTTTCGGAGGGCTCGGCGTCGGCAGTGCATGAGCACTCGCTGTCCGCTTCTCTGTCCGCAGTGAGGCATCGTCCCCCTCCCTCCTCTCCTGCGCATTGCCCCCCCCCCCCCCCTCCCTCCTTCACCTCCTCATGTTCAGAATAGTCAAAACAGCAACACGAAAAATCGTCCCCATGTTATTTCTAAACTATTCTTGAAGATGGCGAAGGCCTTACGGCCGGTGCCGCCGACCCTGAAGACGACGAAGATGAAAACGAGCGGGGGGAGGTAGGAGGCGGAGGCGGAGGAGGAGGAGGAGGAGGAGGAGGAGGAGGAGGAGGAGGAGGAGGAGGAGGAGGAGGAGGAGGAGTGGGAGGGGAAGAGGAAGGGTGGAGGAGGCGGATGAGGGAGGAGGAGGGGGGGAAGGATGAGGAGGAGGAGCAGGAGGAGGAGGAGGAGGGCAGAGGAGGAGCAGGAGGAGGGGGAGCTGGAGGGGGAGGGGGGAGGAGAGGAGGAGGAGGAGGAGGAGGAGGAGGCGCATGCGGAATATGAAGAGGGGCAGGAGGAGGAGGGGGAGGAGGAGGAGGAGGAGGATGAGGAGAAGGAGGAAGAGGAGGAGGAGGAGGAGGAGGAGGAGGAGGAGTGCATACTATGTTTAGAATATTCTTCTTGAAGATTCCTCCGACAGGCCGGACTCAACACTTGCCCGGGACGCCTGGGGACGTTGGCCCGGGACTCTCCCGGGAGACGCCCGCCCGCGGGGACGCCCGCCCGAGGCGCCTGGGACGTCCAGGCCGGTCGGGGCGCCCGGGGCGCTGCTCGGGGCCCCCAAACGGGGTGTCGGAGGTTGATCGACCTCCTATCCTGACACGTCGATTCAGGAATTGGCCGTTTTCGGTTCGCGAGAGCGCGTCGCGGCCCGTCCTTTCTTCGGGTCCAGGTCCGTCGGTTTCGGACCCAGGCCGTTTCCACTAAGGGGAGGCTTACTGAAGGGAGGTTTGTCCACCGCCGAGGGTGGTGACCACACCGTGTGGTGAGTCGGTCGGGATTCGGGGTCACCGCACGGTTTGGGACTCGGGTCGTTCTTCGAGGATGTCTCGTTCGACTGGGGCCTCCAGGGTCCCGAGGCCATGCGGCGACGGGCCGTGCGGTGAGGTCTCTTGGGGTTCCGAGGTCACCGCACGCACGGTCAGTCACCACACGGTTTTTGGATCCCCAAGCTGCCGATCCTGCGATGGGGTCGCTTCGATTCCGATCCGAGTCGGGAAGAATTGTTCCGATTCGATGCCGATCCGCCCCCCAGAGATCCAACGTAGTAAAAAATCCAGGCGGAGTTTTTTTGTTTGCAAGTTTCGGCCTCTAGGGGCACTCGCAGGGCCCCGGGACTATCACAAAACGATTCAGGATGAAAAATTGGTTCTGAGGAATGTGTCGAGACTTGCGGTGACCCCGTTGCGACAAAAATCACGACATCGGATCCCTGGGCTTGCAGTGTTCGATTTCCGAGCCGACGCGGCGATCGCCGATGGGAACACCGATGACAAAAGAGTCGTCGCGATTCCGATTGCGAGTCGGAGTCGGTGTGTCAGCGGGTCCAGGTAGGATCGAGCATGGGCGTGGCTGAGTCTGGATATCATCAGCAGCAAGAACCAACCTCGAATCGCGAGACCAGGTCGAAATCGAAATCGAAGATGGGTTCACTCACATTAAGCCTCACACGCAAATGGCTATCGCGGTACAGCTGGCGTGGCAACGGGGCGCCCCAGTTGCCGGCGGGCGTCGCGAGCACAGCACGCCAGGGGGCAGGCGCAGCAGGTCCGTGCGCGCTGGCCTGAGCTGCCGCGGGGAGACGACTTCTCCCTCGCTCTTCAATTTTGGGTGTTCTCTCGTCTCTCCTGGAGGAGGCCGGCAAGACGATGTCTCCCTCGCTCTTCAATTTGGGTGCTCTCTCGTCTCTCCTGGAGGAGGCCCAGAGGACCCAGAGATCCAGCATGTGGACAAACACTCAAGGCGGAGCTCCGCCGCAGCTGTCGGCTGCCTCCCCCGCCGGACTCCGAGGCTGCCAACCAAGGACTCAGAGGATGAACAAAAACGGGCCTTGGGGAATATATGGGTCGAGACTTCGGGGGCCCCGTACTGGAACAAAAATCACGGCATCGAATCTCTGGGGAGGGGGACGTCGCTGAAGTCGTCGCGGTCGTCGTCGTCGTCGTCGTCGTCGTCGTCGTCGTCGTCGTCGTCGTCGTCGTCGTCGTCGTCGTCGTCGTCGTCCTCGTTTTTGCCACGCCTGCCGTCTACGCGGACTCGCTCTCACACCCAGATGCCCAAGGGAGTTTTTTTCCGCGAGGCGTGACAGGCGTGTGGGATGCACATGTTGGGATGTCCGCGTCGAGTAGTTGCGTGAGGGGCCGTGGCCTGTGGAGCCTCGGGAGAAGCGAGCGCTGCACGCAGGGAATTCGAGTAGGGGGGGGACTTAGAATACAAAAACCATGCGGCACAACAAGTACCTTTTCCACGCCTCAGCGTGCATAAGGCACGGTGGCGGATAGGCAATTCAGCACACAGGTTTGTGTCGTGTGGTTTCAGTTTTCCCTGGCCTCAACGGCCTTTGTCCTCGTCGCCGTTGTCGTCCTGGTCCGCCGTCCAGGAGGTCCGAATACCTCGCGGGACTTCGACATGACAGGCCCGCGAGCGGCCTACTCCCCAGTCAGAGCTTGCCTCTGCAGGGTCCTAGCGGATTCATGTGTGTAGGTGACATACGTCGCCGATTTCGGTGGCCGGCCCCGGGTGCCCGGATGCCCGGGGGTGCCCGGGTGCCCGGGGGTGCTTGGGGCATATCCGGGTGCCCAAGTGCCCGGGTGCCCAGGTGGTGTGTGTAGGTGACATACGTCGCCGATTTCGGTGGCCGGGCCCGGGTGCCCGGATGCCCGGGGGTGCCCAGGTGCCTGGTGCCCGGGTGCATATCCGAGTGCCCAAGTGCCCGGGTGCCCAGGTGCCCGGGTGCCTGGGTGCCAGGGTGCTCAGGTGGTGCCCCGTTGCCCGAGTGCCCAGTAGCCCTATAGACCTATAGTCCTGGATCTTTATAGCCCTACAGCCCTAATAACCCTACTGCCCTATAGCCCAATAGCCCTGTAGCCCTGTAGCCTTACAGCCTTATAGCCCCTATAGCCCCATAACCCGATAGCCTCATAGCCTTATAGCCCTATAGCCTTATAGCCCTATAGCCCTATAGCCCTAAAGCCCTATAGCCCTATAGCCCTATAGCCCTACAGCCCTATAGCCCTATAGCCCTATAGCCATATAGCCTCATAGTCCTATAGCCTTGTAGCCCTATAGCCCGATAGCCTTATAGCCCTATAGCCCTATAGCCCGATAGCCCTGTAGCCCTATAGCCCTATAGCCTTATAGTCCTACAGCCCTATAGCCTATAGCCCTACTTAATTATAGCCCGATAGCCCCATAGCCCTATAGCCCGATAGCCTTATAGCCCTAGAGCCCTATAGCCCATAGTAGCCTATTGCCCTGAAAAAGAATGATTGATTTTTCTCTGGTATCATTTGGTTGAGGGTCCTTAGTCG